GAGGGCTAGCCTCCCACTAGTTCGAATTAAGTGGCTACACAGCCCTTAATTCGAACTAGGAAGTTCGAACTAGGATTAGTCCTCGTACAATGAGGTTTACCTAGTTCGAACTAAGCGCTCCGCTAGTTCGAATTAAGTTCGAACTAGCAGAGCGCTAGTGTAGCGCCTATAAAGTTAATGCGAACTAACGTCTGTAGTGTAGACATACCCTAAGTGATCTGCTTTGATTTCCTCTCACGAGCTCGCCGTGCTGTCAAAACCTGCAGGCCTGGCTCGCTTCGCAGTCTTGGCACAAGCAAGAAGACATGCCTGGAGCCTGAACTTCCCCCTTGTCCTCCAGCGACAGAGCTCGGCCGCAGAGGGGGAGACTGCAGCAACTGGTAGCGAAGGCTGCGTCAGAATGTGGAGTTTGCAGGTGAAACTGGCCCGTTGGCCATGGTAGGTGATCTCTGGTCTGGAAGCAGGGAATAGGTGCAGGTAGCAAGGCAAGCCCTAAGGAGGAGGCCGGGGGGGAATTGTGGGAGGACACTGGCAGCCTTCAACTGCTGGTCATGGCGCTAGCTTGTGTCTACGCTGCACAGAAGGTATGTGGGCTGCCGAGGAAATGAGGTCAGGGCCAGATTAACTCTCTTGGGTGGGGTTGCTAGATATTTTCACAAAAAATCCCAAACACGACTGAGAAAAAAAACGGGGAACCAAAGTTGTTGAGGAGAAAAAAGGGGGAGTCCAAACTTGTTGAACAACAAAAAAAAGAAAGTCACTGCGCCTTTAAATCCCCACACTCCCGGCTCCCCCCACACTCACCAGCCCTCTGACCGAGAAAAACAGAAAACACGGGACATGTATTTTCTGGGGGGGTTTACCAGACTGTCCGGGTGAAAACCTGACACCTGGCAACCCTACTCCTGGGGGCCCAGGGCTATTAGATTTTTGAGGGGTCCCTCCAGACAAGTCTTATTTCTCATTTAAAACAATGCTCACATGCACGGAGGGGTTGCTCCGGGGTGGGGCCAAAAACGAGGGGTTCAGAGTGTGGGAGTGGGTTCCAGGCTAGGGCATAAGCTGAGGGCTTCAACTGGGGGTGCAGGCTCTGGGGTGGGGGTGGGGCTGAAGGCTTGGGGTACAGGAGTGGGCTCCAGGCTGGGCCAAGGGGTTTGGGATGCAGGAGGAGGCTCAGGGCAGAAGGTTGGTGCTGAGCTGAGGGTCTGGGGTCTGGATGGGAATCCAGGCACTGGAGCTGGCTTACGGCCGGGGCGAGGGGTTGATGCTCATACCTGGGGCAGCCCCCATTTGGTGGCACAGAGGGGCTGAGGCAGGTTCCCTGCCTACCCTGGCTCCATGCCACCGCTGGGAAGCTGCTGGACTGTCCCTGTGACGGGGTGTACCAACCCCGCACTGACCTTGGAAGAGTTAACCAGGGTTACCTGGCTGAGCGGGACTTGCCCCCACAGACCTGCTGGGCATGCTCCAGCTGGAGAACAGCAATAAAGGCCAGTGGAACAGCTCAGTCGGGGCGGATTGGCGCCGAGGAAGGAGGTACTGCCAGTGCTCTGGAGGAGGCACTGCAGACGGACCGCACTGCGCAGGCCAGTCTGCGGGGAGCGACCGGAGAAACCCTAAATCCGGAGGGAAGCGCAGACGAAGCTGACCACCTTGAGTCTGGTAGGAAGTGGCCCCAGGTGGTGAGGTAGATCCCGGAGACCTCAGCGTGTTTTGAGCAGATTCCCCGCTGAGCTAATGGTGGGATAAACCCACCACGGACAGGGCCCTGGGCTGGGTCCCGTTGGAGCTGGTGGGCCTGGGTCCTCCTACACCATCCCTATTAATCCCCAAGGTGGGCGCTACAAGAGTTGCTCCTGACTCTAGCTGCTAGGTCTCACTGCCCTGTCTGCTGGGCCTTTTTACCCTTTCAGATGGGGGCATTTTACCAATTGTGGCTGGACTGTCGCATTGGAGAAGGCCATAGTGAGAGGCCTTGGACTGTAGCGACTGAGACACACAGGGGGTGGAGCATGCTTTGAGAGGCCTGGAAGGCCTAACGCCATGCTTCTGAGGGGGCAAGGCTGGCGTACCCACCCCATGACGGTCCCTGGTTGCAGCGTTGAGTGTGGGCAAGGGTCAAGATAATGGGAACACTCTGAGCTGTGTGGTAACTTTGTGATGAGGACAAGCCCTTCTTTTCTGAGTCTGAGCAGAGGAAGTTTTATGGTAAATATTCCTTTCCCTTTGGCCCGCTGAGGCTGAGCCAAGAGAGTTAATCTCCAGGGCGTGCTGTTACTGAGTAACTGATTTCATCTAGAAAATTGGCTTAGGAAAACAAGAGGATCCAAAGGTTTCTGTGGAAATTCAGCATTTGGTCGATCAGGTCTGGTCATCCTAGAGAAGCCAAGTCAATAGTTGAGCGGAGCAAATGATTCGTAATGAATTTATCCCATAAATTTCATCTCTCAGTTTGCTTCCCAGAGGCTGAACTCACCTCTGTGCAGTGAGTGTAAGTGGGCCGTAAGTGTCTACTGACAGCACCACTTATCAAGCTGATAAATATTATCTCGTTGTTTTCTTCTCCGCTGCCTGACTCCATCTAGTCTCTATTGTATGAAGATCGCCAAAAGGAACAGATGTAAAAATTCAAACGAATAATTATAGAATTATGTGTGTAGTATTAGCCCTGTTGTGAGGGAGACACGAGAAGTCTGCTCTACTCTGCACTGATTAGGCCTTAACTGGAGTATTGTGTCTAGTTCTGGGTGCCATATTTCATGAAAGATGTGGAGAAATTGGAGAGGGTCCAGAGAAGAACAACACAAATGACGAAAGGTCTAGAAAACATGAGCTATGAGGGAAGACTGAAAGAACTGGTCGGCTGCGTCTAGACTGAGGTGGATCCAATCAGGGAGGATGAGGCCCACTTCTAGTAGCTGATCTGAATTCCAAGAGAGGAGAAGCTGCTTTTGTAGTTAGCAAGCCATCCACAGACTGTGCTAACTACAAAAGCAGCTTCTCCTCTCTTGGAATTCAGATCAGCTACTAGAAGTGGGCCTCATCCTCCCTGATTGGATCCACCTCAGTCTAGACGCAGCCGACCAGTTCTTTCAGTCTTCCCTCATAGCTCATGTTTTCTAGACCTTTCGTCATTTGTGTTGTTCTTCTCTGGACCCTCTCCAATTTCTCCACATCTTTCATGAAATATGGCACCCAGAACTAGACACAATACTCCAGTTAAGGCCTAATCAGTGCAGAGTAGAGCAGACTTCTCGTGTCTCCCTCACAACAGGGCTAATACTACACACATAATTCTATAATTATTCGTTTGAATTTTTACATCTGTTCCTTTTGGCGATCTTCATACAATAGAGACTAGATGGAGTCAGGCAGCGGAGAAGAAAACAACGAGATAATATTTATCAGCTTGATAAGTGGTGCTGTCAGTAGACACTTACGGCCCACTTACACTCACTGCACAGAGGTGAGTTCAGCCTCTGGGAAGCAAACTGAGAGATGAAATTTATGGGATAAATTCATTACGAATCATTTGCTCCGCTCAACTATTGACTTGGCTTCTCTTGTAGCCGGCTTGTTTAGCTTGGAAAGGAGAAAACTGAGAGGGGACATGATAGCAGTTTTTAAGTACCTAAAAAGGGTGTTACAAGGAGAAGGGAGAAAAATTGTTCTCCTTGACTTCTGATAATAGGACTAGAAGCAATGGGCTTTAAATTGCAGCAATGGAGGTTTAGCGTGGACATTAAGAAAAACTTCCGAATTGTCAGGGGTGGTTAAGCACTGGAATAAATTGCAGAGGGAGGTTGTGGAATTTGCATCACTGGAGATATTTAAGAGCAGGTTAGACTGACACCTATCAGGGATGATCTAGATGGTGCTAAGTGCTGCTGTGAAGGCAGGGAACTAGACTTGATGACCTCTCGAGGTCCCTTCCCGTTCTAGTCTTCTATCCTATGATTTGGCATATGAATTTAGTGATAAGTAAACAGGACTCCTTTTCAGTATATCTGAAGCTCTCTGCTGCCACCTCGTGTTATGTTTAGGGAGCAACACAAAATAATTAAATATTGTCAGAGAAGGCAAATTTATTGATATCTATTGATATCTATTGAACAGCAATAATGGTATGGGACCTGTTGGCTGGGCCAAGGTCTTTTCTCCTGTCTTTCTGGTTCCAGGTCACTGCAGATTTTAACATTCCAAGGCACAGTGTAGGCCGCAGCATGGCCATAAGAATGCACAGAACATTGGGCCATTAATTGTTGCATTTTCCAAGTGCCGGACCAACGCCCATTCAAATCAATAGAAGACTCTCATTGGAAGACCTGGGATCAGGTTCCCAGGGAGGAGGGAATAGCAGAACCTTGCTCTGGGCAGGAAGTTGCTACAGTAGAGGAGCGGATTCTATGAATGAATGGGCAGGTAGAACCTTTAATATCTGTCTAGTATAAATGAGGTGACAAGTTCTACTCTGGGGATCATGTAAGAATCCATTTTGGATTAGAGAGGGAAGGTGAGTCTAAAGATTCTTGGCTCCAGCTGGGTGAGTTTTTAGGGCCATTGAGAGCTGTGTGTGTAGGCTGAAGACAGCCTGCATGGGTCTTTAGTTGTCCATGTTGCATCCTGTTGGTGCCTTAAATTCCAGAGAACACTGAGCTGAGATCTGAACAGCCGCTGCTTGAAGAAAGTTCAGATCTGGAGCAAAAAATTCCCAAGGGCTTCTCTTTCTGGAATGGGCCGAACCAAAACTCCAGAGCATCTCAGGGCGTAGCAGTGTTCACCCACCTCCCAACTGGGAGACTTGGCCCAGCTCACACATCTATCTTCCCAGACAAGCCTGGAGGTTAGTCCCTCACTAGGAATGAGCGAGGCTGTAGGGGTGCAATCCACACCTTTTTTGTGGATGCTTGTCTGGGGCCAGCTCTCTGCAAGGCAGGATGGGTAGGTGAGTCGTGCACAATAGACCAATGTGCTACCATGTGGGGGGTAAGTGTTGGGCCTCGTCTACACTTGGAGGCTGGGCGTTAGTGCAAATTACAGTGCACCCGTGTAAATTGTGTTTAAATTTTGTTAGGAGGCCATAAGCCCCAGCTTGGTCACTGGCTTTTATACTATGGAAACTGAGGGGACTCTTAGGGCTTCTCTTCACTATCCCTGAGATTCTCCCATTGATGTCCCACAGCGGGGACGGTGCAGAAATTTGACTCAAGGTACGTCAACTCCAGCTACACTATTCTCGTATCTTGCGCATTAGGTCGACTTTCTCACGTAGTGTAGACCTGGCCTAAAACTTGTAGGGAGGAAGGAGAGCTAGGTCTGTTTCAGTGCTGCCCTCTATAGTCTGTGCTAGAGAAGAGATGTGAAATTGCACCTCGAGCTCTGCTTGTGCCCCCAGAACCCAGCGTGAGGGGCTGCGGGAAGGGGACACGTGCTGCCCTCGGCCCTGCATGGGTTGGGACCCAGGGACGTGCTGGCTCAGCACCCAGTGCACATGGCACCGATGGGTGAAAGTGCTTCCTAGCCAGGGACAAGGCGCTTATGATGCTTTGCTCCCATATCCAGGCCTGTGGTCTCCTGCCAAGACTGCTGCTCACCCAGCTGTGGGGTTGGGGAAGGGCCCAGAGAAAGCAGCTGGGCCTGAGGATTCGGGGAAGGCTGTGGAATGGGTTGGCTGAAGGGGGGGCTGTCCAAAAAAACACCCATTGATTGCGTTCCCTCGGGAACGAACCGATCCTGCTGACACGGGGCTCCAGGGCTTCTCAGTGCAGTTTCTTCAAGAGCAGGTGGATCCCAGTGCTGGACCTGAGGACAACCTGAGGAATTCCCTTGGGCGGTTTGGCTGGATCAGGAGAAAGCTCGAAACGGAGCAGAGTCAGGGCCAGGGCCACTTTCAGCTCGTTCATGGCAAACTGCTGCCCGATGCAGTTCCTGGAAGAGGCGGGGAGAGCCTGTCAGAATGGACGCTCTGGCTTTGCCAGCAGCTTCCCTTCACAAATACACCCGCGGCACTTTGCTAGCGGAGTGGGGCAACCCAGCTCGCTGGGTCAGCGACCATCTCCCCTGTGTGTGTACAGCACCTAGCACACTGGGGTCCTCAGCTCAACCAGAGGTTTTGGCTCCTACTGCCTAGGGGGTCCCTGCACCCACCACTGTAGAGATGCCACTACTGGGTTACAATATGGCAGCTGTTTAATAGTGCACAGCAACGCTACCAGGCAGTTTTAAAACAGGGTTTGAAAAACTCACTTTCCCGCTGAACCTGCAAGAAAACAGATCCCGTTTTCACCCGCTCTTGTGCAAAGTGCCAAGAGAACTTTATTGGTGGGGGGAGATTTTTCCAATGCCCAAATGGCAGTTAGGATGCTAATTCCTGTTGGCTTTCAGTTTCATTAACTGCTACGTGTTTTAATATGGGGTAGTCAGAAAAACCAAGGAGGACGGCAAAAGGATGGCTCGAGATAAGCCACTGCTCCCAAAACACTTGTGTTAAAGGACAATGCCAGGGGAGGAAAAGGCCCCTGAACACCGGGGATGAAGAGCACAGTGCTATGTTTAAACAGGCACACTCTTCTGAGAGTGGGGGTAATTGCTTGGGGGACTCAAACAGAAACACAGAGACCTGTGTGGGTGACAGAAAAACTGAGGCCTGCCTGGATTCCCATCAGGGGATGGTCAGCCTAGAGGTGGGATAGCCGTGCCTGTCGGCTCTTTGGAGGTTTGAAATCTTCCCTTGCTAAGTGCTTCCTCCCTGCTGTGCAATAACCAGGCCTTTGGCTGTAAGCAGCCTGGCTGGTCACAGAGGAAGAACTGCAGGGGTCTGACCTCAGCTGAGCCTGTTGGGTCCCGGTCTGTGGCCTGGTCTGTGAGTGGGAGAATTGCAAGGTCCAGCCAGGAGAGGCCTGAGAGCTGAGGAGTTCACTGAGAGCCCCCAGAGGGCGCTGCTAGCCACCATCACACCGTGCTTCTGCCAAACGACTGTGGCCTGTCAAACGCCCTTGGGGCCAGGCTGTCCTAGGACCGGCTCTGTGGGCATCGTGAAGCAGACACAGGAGAGGCCAAAGAGGCCAGGCACTAAGAACCAAACTCTGGTTCAGTGCATTGCTGTAGGGGACCCCTCCACACCTCCCTCACGTGACAGACACAACCCTACAGCGCCAGCCTGTTAGAGCTCAGTGGGCATTAGGGGCAGCCTGGCCCAAAGCCTGGCTTTGTTTTCAACCGACACCCCCGAGAGAACGAAACATCCCCCACCGTGCTCCAGCCGCAAAGGGCACAAACGCATGGGAATGCCTCCGGGCCACGTTCTCTGGAGAAAACCTCATGGGATCAAACACCTGCAGGGAGAGAGTAGCGTTGCCAGATGGTTTCAACAAACATACCGACAAACAGACATGACATCACAATCCACATTACATCTTGTTTAGAAAATACCGGACAATTCTAGTTTCTCATTTATATTTTTTCCATTTGTTTCCCGAACAGCAAGCTCAAATACTGGACTGTCCGGTTCAAAACTGGACACCTGGCAACCCCAGAAGAGAGTTCAAAGGTCTGTGGTCAGGCTCAATGATTCATAAGAACATAAGAACGGCCGAACTGGGTCAGACCAAAGGACCTTCTAGCCCAGTATCCTGTCTGCCGACAGTGGCCAGCACCAGGTGCCCCAAAGAGGGTGGACCAAAGACAATGATCAAGCAATTTGTCTCCTACCATCTCTATCCAGCCTCTGACAAACAGAGGCCAAGGACACCATTTTATCCCCTGGCTAATAGCCTTTTATGGACCTAACCTCCATGAAATTATCTAGCTTCTCTTTAAACTCTATTATACTCCTAGCCTTCACAGCCTCCTCTGGCAAGGAGTTCCACAGGTTGACTACACGCTGTGTGAAGAATAACTCTCTTTTATTAGTTTTAAACCTGCTGCCCATTCGGACAGCAATTCAATAGCAACATTGTAGCCAGAGTCCCAAGTCCTTTAAATCACTACCAGAGCCCTGCCCCTTCTACGTGAGGCCTCGCCTCTTCTGAGGGCACAAAACCGGCCCCCTCCTCACCTTCCCCTGGGGCCTGGTGAGTCTGTCGGCCCCACTGCCTGTGGAAAAGGCTTTTTGTTCCCAACTACAGCATTTCTCGGCTGGACGCCAGCAGCTTTACACACCCAGACATGGTTCATTTGGCAACAAGCCACCTCCCTCAGCTTAGGAGCAGGGTGCGATTTCAGAGGCTGAGGTGAGGTCAGTTCTAGCCCAGCATTAAAGGGGTTTCTGTTGCTGTAGCCCCAATGCACTGGCGCTGACGTGGAAACTCTTCTAGGGCAGCAGCAGTGAGAAGGGACGGTGACGTCCCCTCCCACAAAGAGCCAGCTCCTCCCAAATGTGAGCTGTGCTGACCAGGGACATGCAGGCACCCTGTAAGCTAGTGAGGTTCTGTCCGAACGCATCTCCTGTGCACTCTTCCCCCCCCCCCAACCAAAAGGGTGAAGTCTTCTGCTGAGATCGGAGCGCTACTTCCCCTCTTGTTCAGTTGTAAATTCTCTTAGAAATCTCACCACAGCCGCCAGGCAACAGGGAGAAGTTTCTGGTACAACCAAGAGCATTATCTGGTCTATTTGCCCCCAAATGCTACGAATCATTATTCCACTAGATGTAGGTGACCATGGGTAAAGACAGATGGTTTCACATGCTACTCTGTCATTCTATGAGACTCGGAATTATTAGGGCAGCCGCCTGGTTTGCAGATCCATTGCACTGTTCTTCTGGAGCGATGCTACTTGCATGCAATTGCAAACCACCTCAGTAAGATCAATATTATCCCTGATTTACAGAAAGGGAGAAGCAAGCAATGCCTTGCTCAAGGAACTATGAGGCAGACCCATGGAGAGCTCCCGAATCTCTTGCTAAGCAGTTCTTTGTCTAAATTACATGACCACCTTTTATTTGTGTGATATGAAAAGTACCTCTGGATCTTGCCATACAGTTGGGTTCCTATGAAGAGAATAAATATGCACAGTCACCTGAGAACCTGTAAGAAAAATAAAAAAAACTTTGGTGACCTGACAGGGCAAACATCTGTTCAGCACGACATGAGATCCTGTTAAAGGGCGTTAGTCTTCTTAACCAGCACACCTGCTGACTGGAAAATGTTCCAAGTCCATTTTACATTCATGTTTTCACTCTATTAGCCCTGCAGAGGCAGCATTAAGTGATGGGAGAATGAGCTGGGTTCTATTCTGGCTCACGCATCATCATCAAATGTGATGGGTGTCACAGTGTAATTGTAAGAGGGGAAGCAGCATCAAGCTGTGAGTTTGCCGTGTGGTGACACAGGCTTTATACTATTGAATTTTTTTATCGACAACCTAGGAGAGAGAAAATCATAATTGAAAAGTTTGCAGATGATGCAAATATTCAAGAATATGAATAAAGGTCTAAAGTACATGAGGAATGAAGGAAGGCTGAAAGAACTGGGTTTGTTTAGAAAAGAGAAGATCGAGGGGGGACATGACAGCAGTTTTCAGGTATCTCAATGGGTGTCATAAGGAGGAGGGAGAAAACTTGTTCATCTTGGCCTCTGAGGATAGAACAAGAAGCAATGGGCTTAAACTGCAGCAAGGGAAATTTAGGTTGGACATTAGGAAAAAGTTCCTAACTGTCAGGGTGGTGAAACACTGGAATAAATTGCCCAGGGAGGTTGTGGAATCCCCATCTCTGGAGATATTTAAGAGTAGGTTAGATAAATGTCTATCAGGGATGGTCTAGACAGTATTTGGTCCTGCCATGAGTGCAGGGGACTGGACTCGATGACCTCTCGAGGTCCCTTCCAGTCCTAGTGTTCTATGATTCTATGATTCTAAGAAGGATGGTGATAAATTGAAGAGAGTTCAGGGACGAGCCTCAAGAATGACTAAAAGGATCAGAAAACATGCAGTGGAGTGATGAACTCAAAGAACTTACTCTATTTAGCTCCACAATGAGGAGGCTAAGGGGTGATGGGACAGACTATAAGAACCTATACAAAGAACACAGGTATAACAAAGGGCTTTTCAGTCTAGCAGGGAGAGGTAAAACAGACCTGTGGTTGGAACGTGAAGCTAGACAAATTCAGGCTGGAAACCAGGGTAAATATTTAATAGGCCAATAAGAGGTCATTAACCACTAGAGTAATTTACCAATGTCAGAGTGGTTTCTCAATTACTTAATTGTGTAATCAAGACTGGATGGGCTTCTAAGAGATCATCTATGGGAGTTATTTTGGAAAAGTTCCCTGTCTTGTGGTATACAAGAGGACGGACTGGATGATCACTGGGGTCCTGCAGGGATCTGGGATACTGTCAGGTGAGGTCTGAGCGCAGAACCTCAGTTATGGGCATTGATGTAATGGCAACTGTAAGCAGGGCTTTGATACAGTGATCGTCAATGCCATGGGAGGTTAACCTGATTGCTGAGTGAACGTGATGGGAAGGAACAGAGCACTCATGGATAGAAGGAACTGGGAATGCGCCATGTTATCTGTAAAGTCACTCGTGTGACTATCATTGTGTGTTCACGCTGAGATTTTCAAGGCTTGTGCAACTGCACACTTACAAATTCAGCTTTTGAAAGTGGAGGGGGGGCGTTGATCTGGCCTTTCGTGTATTTCACGTTTTGTATTGATCTTATGCAATACTTAAATTAAAAAATACACTCAGCATCTGTGCATGGGCTCCTCATAGAAGGGATCCAAATTCCATTGAAACCGGTGGAAAAAGCCTACGGTTTTCTAGGATATTTGGATCAAGATGGGTGACTTACCAGGTGGACGCTGGCTGAGTATCACAGAGGCCAGGAGTAGATTCTCAATCGATTTTGCATGAGAAGCAGGAAATGGTTAGGAAACTGGGTCAGAGTGCCCATTGAGCAGGGAAGAATGACAGACGTGCCGTCTGTGCTTTGAACCCAGAAGATCAGGCCACGTGAAAGCCAAGTAACTGATCCACTGCAGGTGAATATTTCACTAGCATAGTGATTCGGGCAAAGGTAACATCTCCCCTCTCACCTACTGCAGTGTGTTTAGTGCATGAATTAGTAACACTAGAAGGAGAGGGCAAGAGCTCCCCATGCCCACAGGCCAAAGACATAAAGACAGACACAGGGTGGAGGTAGAGGTAGCACATGCAATGTGAGGGCAGCAAACAAACGCGTCGTTGCTATTTTATTGATTGCTTTGGGCAGAGGGGATTGGCTACATGGAAGAAAGAGTGATGGGGGCAGGGCAGAGGAGAAGTGGGTTGGAGGGGCAGGTGGGGTGCGAAACTGAGCTGAGGAGATGGAAAGGATGAGGAAGAGTTGGAGTGAACCGCCCATCAGCACAGTGCAGAGAAAGGCAGAGAACTCGCGCCAGCTTTGACCAGACTGTCCAAAGGTCTCTGCTTTGGCTGCTCCTACATCCACTGGCTTGAGTCCCTGGCTGGCTGCTTTGTACTTCTCCCCCCCACCTAGGTCACATCATGGGGGGAAGTCTTGAGAGCCCCACAAACCACTCAACCTCTCCTAGGCCTTCACTTGGCTTCCACAGGAGAACTTTCCCCTCTCTCATTGGCTTGCACCACATCCAGGTGCCACCTCAAGAGGAGTGCTGTGTGTGGCTGAAGGCAGACTTGGACCCGTGAGACAGAAGAGATTAAACAGACCTTCTGGCAAGGTACGTCCATCGTGGAACGTGATGGGCTTGCTGAGTTGTCGGCCCACTGCAATTACCGGAGGGTACAGGCGGAGGCTCTCCTTGATGCACATGGTGCTGTAAATCATTTTGCCAAGGTCATCCCTGAAAGAAATGAAAGAAATTAAATTAACTGCGGAACAGCCCTTGCCACTACCAAGATACGAGCTGGCTGCATCAACACCTGTAAGTGAAACAAACACACCACACACCTATTGCTGTTGAAAGACAGAACATAAGAACATAAGAATGGCCGTATTGCGTCAGACCAAAGGTCCATCTAGAAGCCTGTCTGCCAACAGTGGCCACAGCCAGGTGCCCCAGAGAGGGTGGACCGAAGACAATGATCAAGCGATTTGTCTCCTGCCATCCTTCTCCAACCTCTGACAAACAGAGGCCAGGGACACCATTTCTATCCCCTGGCTACTAGCCTTTTATAGACCTAACCTCCATGAAATTATCTAGCTTCTCTTTAAACTCTGTTCTAGTCCTAACCTTCACAGCCTCCTCTGGCAAGGAGTTCCACAGGTTGACTATGTGCTGTGAGAAGAAGAACTTTCTTTTATTAGTTTTAAACCTGCTACCCATTAATTTAATTTGGGGTACGTCTATACTGCATGGCTCCATCAATGGAGCCATGTAGTCTAGACACACCTCTTGTGGTTTTAGTCCTACTCTCCTCCGTTCTCTTTTGTCCACACTTGAACATACATACATGACTCAAAATTGCCTGTAACCTTTAGAAAATACTCAAAGTTTATCAGAAGAGAAGGCATGGCTCTCATGTACAAGTTATCGGCTCTGAATGAGTCTGCTCAAGCTTCTGGAAACATGAAGCTCATGAGATTGCCTGTTGGCTTTACTTAGAGAAAACAAACCAGTTAAATTAGCTGCTGATGCCTGACAAAGTGGACTGGGAGCAGTTTAATTACATGACTCTACTCTGATTGCTTTTGTAGCTAGTATAATGACCCAAAAAGAGAAGAAAAATCAAACTATGGCTTGACAGGAAAAGGGAGATTTGCTGTAATGTATGGTATTGTCCACAGTAGGAAATTTCTTTATTCACTTTTCAGCATCAGTGCAGTGACCAACAGCATTCCTGACAGGGTAAAGAGCATTCCTGACACCTGTAAACTTATGCATGGAGTAGGGTTAATTAACCTCACAGTAAAAACATAAAACACTTAACTTGCCCTCCAAGTGTCCATCTCCTTGAAAGATGTTCTCCTTTTCTGTTGCAATGTTATAATTCGCCTTCTCTCTCATGGTGAGGATATTACAGTGTTGTACTGCAACGGAAAGAGATTTTGTGGCTGAGGCATAGAGGTGACTTGGGTTCTTTTCCCACCTCTGCCACAGACTTCCTACAGCACACTGAGCAACTCTCTTGATCTGCTGGGCCTTCGGTTTCCCCTGCTGTAAACTTTTGGGGGCAGGGACCGACTTTTGGTTCCACGTTTGTACGGCCCCTAGCGCAAGGGATGCTGGGCCATGAAATAACTTTCTGTTTCACAGTGGGGTGGTAAGGCTTAATATGACACGGTACGTTGACATCCTTGCAGGTAATTATTTGTAAAAATGCAAGCGCTTAATATTTGGGATTCAATTTAGCAAGAAAATCGAGCAGATCTGTCTTATTCCTAAAGTTTCACACTCCAAGGGCTGAATGCAGGGTACGCGTAGCTGTGGGAACTCCCCTAACCTCAGTTGTTTATAGGCCCTTTTCCAACCAATTACCTGTGATTTATTAACTGTTGGAAACCGAAGACGGGGAATTGAACAGCCCTTGCCAGAAGGCATCTGGCTTTGGATCAATCCTTTGTAGCATGGCTAAACTAAATGTTGATCCTTCAGTGCCAAGCTTGTGAAATAAGATCTGCTTTTAATTCCTCAGACTGAATATCTAAGACATGGGTGGGGGGCCGGGATCTGACCCCTGAGGTTTGGGGCTCCCTTATCAGCATTGGTGAGACCTCAATGGCATTCCAGCAATTCCTGCCACCCTCGTGGGATGGAGAACACAATCTACACACCTGGGCCCCTTTAGACTCTGATGTGTGAGGGGAATGCGGAGAGTGTTTTTCTCCTTTTCAGTCGGGGTCCCCATCAAGGTACATTGACATCCTTTCAGGCAATTATTTATAGAAATGCAAGCGCTTAATATTTGGGATTCAATATAGCAAGAAAATCGAGCAGATCTGTCTTATTCCTAAAATTTCACACTCCAAGGATTTGGAGTTTTTGCTTTTGGGTGCTTTTTTTTTGCTTCTCACGTGTGTATGGGCCCCAGCTGATTTTCTGTAGGTCAGCGGCCCCCACCCCTTGACCTAAGAAAACCATTCAAAGCCAACTGGTACCAAACCCGGGAGGTGACATCTCACCATTGCACGGTATCTCTGTCTCCCACAATCTCCTGGATCTCTTCCCTGCATCTCTGCTGGTGATCTGGGTACAGGGCCATGCAGTACAAGATCCAGGAGATCCCACTGGCCGTGGTATCATGCCCCTCAAACATGAACGTGTCCACCTCGGCGCGTAGGTCTTCGTCGGACAGTCCAGTGCCGTTTTCATCCTAGCAAAGCAGCAAGGTAAATAATCCCCGAACGAGAGTTAGTTTCAGGAGGACTCTTTTGGAGTGAAAAAATACACCAGGATCACTGGCGAATATCCCAGCTTGCTTTGACTTGTTTGTACGAGAAATCGGGTCACTCCACTGAAAGCAATGCAATTGGCAGGTGTGTTCCTGGTACAAGTGAAATCTGAGTCAGGTCACTTGGGTACGGCAGCAGGCATTCTCATGTACAACAGGGAAACTGTTGCCAACTCTAGCTAGATGTCTGCTGATGACATGTAGGGACACATGTATATGTCCTGGCTGATTGCATGATTATTTCAAACACTCACCTTGGCACACAGAAGAATGTCCAGAAAATCCAAGTGCTTCTTCTTCTGCATCTTTTCAAGTTCTTGCTGATCTAGCAGGGACTTCTTTCTCTCTTTTATTACTGTATCTGTATATGAGAGGGGCAAAAATATTAGCTACCCTTCGACATCACTATGAGGTGTCCTTCTGGGAAGGTCATGTCATTGAGCAGTCCACTAAAAAGCAGTCCTTGTGTACAAGTCCACTAAAGATCATGAAATTCCATCAGAGTTGGATTTTACCCTAGATCTACTGCAGGGGTGGGGAACCTTTTTTGGGTCAGGGGCTGCTGACCCACAGAAAAATCATTCATGGGCTGCACACAAGAAAGGAGCAAAAAAACCCTAAAACAAAACAAAACAAAACAATCCTCACTGAGGTGGCCCCCAACTGAAAAGGAGAAAGACACCCTCCACATTCCTCTCACACATCAGAGCTCAGTGGAGAAAAAGCCAATAGATATTTGTGTGTTCCAGCACCATGGGGAGGTAGTGCAGGCTCCCCAGTGCTTAGGGGGAGCCCTGATCTTTGGGGGCCAACCAGGCAAGCTGGGGACCACATCCGAGTACCAGACCTTAGGATCTACTATTCTGACCTGTGATCTACTGACTATCAGCCATGTGCCACAATCTGAAAGCCATACTTCCACCTCAGACCATTAGAGAAAAAAATGTCGTCAGGATTTGGGTTCATAGATTATCTTTTATAATGGTTAACATTAGAGGAAAGCCGTCAAACTAGACAACTCCCTACAGTCAATAGAATACACAAAAGAGGACTCTAGGAAATACCTGTATGGAGGTGCGCTAGTCGGCAGGCCTCTTGAAAGCGACGTCCTTGAGGGCTGATTCGATAGATTAAATCATTATGATACGGGAAAAAGCGGATTCTTTGGAATACTAGGTAGGTCAGGTTGTAGACGGCTTTGATGTAGGTGTCTGAGTCACTGAAGGAAAAGGATGGTTCAATGAGGCGATTATAGGTCTGCTTGTCAAGAACATTTTTGTGAGGATTTGAAAGCACCTGGTACTGACCGTTGAGTCTGGCAGTTGCTATGACAACTGAAGGCACATTTCATGATGCTGTCTAGGGTCATCAAGCTGACATGTTCAAAGAGCTCCACCGACTTATCCACTGTGATCAGGCGTTCCCACTTGTCCTGGTGGAGGAGACAGAGATTAGGAGGGACAGGATTCCAGAAAAGGTTTGTGACGACCACAGGGATCCCTTTGATTGACCTCTTGTTATACTCATTGCTTTCTGTAGCCACATCCTACCTAACTCTGGTGTAAAATGTAACTGAACAAAACCCACAATCCCAACAAAGTTTGGAGGTAGAACAGGAGTGGCTCACAACCATTTCAACTTACAAGTATTTTGAAATAACGCGTCTACACATAAAATGCATTTCACAATAGCTTTTTGCTATTTTGAAACACATTTAAGGCCAGCCGGAACTGGTTCCGGCAAGGCATCAGGTCAGAAGTTATCTTGTGGCCAGGGCGGCCAGCAGGGCACCCTGGGAAGGGTTGGAGGCCCCCTATCATATATAGAGTAGCCCAGTGTCTGTGCGTCTGTAACGCTGATGCTGACGTACACGGCTACGCCTCCTGGCCATGTACCTCAGCGCCCCGCCCTCCTTCCCCTCCCTCCCTGGTGGTTCGGCTGAACGCTGCGCTGCTCAGCTGGGTCCCGGCGGGGGAGCAAGCGGTGCCAAGCAGCCCTTTGAGGAGCACAGACCCCAAATGGCCGCTTGTGGCCCCGGCCCTCTGAGCGACGCTCAGCTGGGTCCCGACGGGGGAGCAAGTGACGGCAAGCGCCAGCGCCGCTCAGCTGGCCCCCG